TTCCAGTAATAGGCCGGCGACAACGACGATGGAACCGGAGCCCGAAGGCCAAAGGCGGGTACTAGTCCATTGCAGCGCCGGCTGCGGGCGGACGGGGACCTACTGCACCGTCGATAGCGTTGTAGATATGCTGAAGCGGCGGCGGGCAGCGTTGGCGGATCGAAAGCAACCGGCGGCAGGGAGTCCGAGTGGGGATGGTGGCGACGATGCGGGCGAACAGGAAGCCTGGCTGCTTCGAGAGGATGTTGACCTGATCGCGGCGACGGTGGAGGAATTCAGAACACAGCGCATCAGCATGGTGCAGAGTCTTCGGCAGCTTGTTCTGGATTACGAGAGCGTGCTAGAGTGGATTATGCAGCATGCGGGGGAGCTGGGGATGGGGGATGAGGCTTCGGATGAAGTGGAGATGAAGAAAGGGGTTTGATCCTGATCCTGATCCTGACCCTGATCCTGACCCTGAGCGTGAGACTTTCGAGGGGAGCTTTGTTTTTTCAATTACGATTTCTTTTAAAAATAAAAAGGAAGGAAAATAGTTTACGTTCGTAGAGATAGAGGCGTGCGCGAGATAGATGATAGATAGACAAACAGAGGGGGATGCGATGATGATTCCGATGATAGGGGGGAAAAGGGGAAGGGTGGGTTTTGCAGAGGAGGACGCAAGGGGGGGGGCCAGCCAGGTATAATAAATATAATGTTATAGTTAGCATTTAATTCAAGTTCACTCTTGTGTGTTTTTTTAACTTTTGGTTTTGGTTTTCTTTCTTTTTTTTGTGGTTGGTAAATTATAAGATAAGATAGTTATAGCAAGTAAATAATAGAGGTATGTAGTTTAACTAGTGTCCACTAGAGTCTAGAGAGAAGCAGGAGCATGGATTGCATTGTATTGCATTCTCAAGCGAGCTCCGTGTTCGTTTTCCCTTCCTAGTAGCGAGCATCGTCGTCATCATCATCATCTGCCTCCTTCTTTATCACCGTTTATCAACCTTTGGAGATGGGGATTGGCATGGGGATGGGGATGGATGGGGATGGATGGGGATGCGTAGATGGGTAGGCGGGATAAATAAGAGATACTAACTAACTAACCAGCATCTAGCATCTAGAATCTAGCATAACTAAGTAAGTTGATAAATAACTAGTTGATAGTTGATAGTTGATAGTTACCTGATAGTTAATGCAAATACCAGCTGGATACTAGACGAGTTAGCTTGTAGCTTGTAGCTGCTAGTAGCTAGTAGCCGAATTAGTAAACTAGTTTATTAGTTTATTCGTTACACAGGAAAGGTAAGGAAGGGGTTCGATGGGTTACAACTTAACGGGCGGGGACAGGAAAGGTAACTAACTAATACATAGTAAATAGATTTTCTTCTGGTGTTATCTATTGGTCAGTCAGAACGGGTTAGGCGGGGGAAAGGGGGGGTGGGGGGGAGCTTGGGGTGGGAATGTGAAGGGGAAAACAAAAAGAATAAAGGGAATAAAAGGAGTAAAATGGAAAGGAAGGGAAGGGAAAAGGGGGTTTGGAATTTGTTTGTGGAAAGGAGTAAGTAGTGAGTACTAGTAGATGGCGGTAAGTTG